CAGTCCAGGCAAGAGCAGTGTCTTGCCCAAATAGCTTACAAACTCCATAAGGAGCCTCTTCGATGCCCATCTTCCTCTTGAAGTAGCTGGTGCTGCCAGAAAAAAATGTGTCTCATTGTCATGAAAAGTCCTAAGTTATTAAAATATTTAAATGCCATATTCTGAAGGTCTCTGAAAGATTTGATGAATACATATCTAACTTAAATATATCTCTATACATCTGAAAAATCTAACTAATATGACTATAAGCTTGACTATTATAGATTATCTATTAACCTATATTTTTAATTATACATTACATTTTTAAATGAACTTTACAATCACAATACCTTAATCAAAAGCAGAAATATACATATAACAAAATTGACCTTAAATTTGTATTAATAAACCAAAATCCATACCAATGCAAACTATTCATACCTATACCATATCCCCCTGTAAATGTAAATAAACATTTATAGACAATATTTGGGAATATGGGCGCAGTTCTGTCTATACTGCTTCCTGCTGACTGGGGGTGTTGTTAATCAGACCTTTCATGATGTATCCTGTCTGCTAGGTTCGTCTCAGTCAGCAGTTGGGTGAAGTAATTTTTTGAGGGTGTTCATGGCAACCTTTTAGGGGGGCGTGGTCTATCATCCCATAGTGGTCTAGAAGCAGTCCACAGGTTCTCATCTTTTTTTTTTTTTTTTCGAGACAGGGTTTCTCTGTGGTTTTGGGGCCTATCCTGGAACTAGCTCTTGTAGACCAGGCTGGTCTCGAACTCACAGAGATCCGCCTGCCTCTGCCTCCCAAGTGCTGGGATTAAAGGCGTGCGCCACCACCGCCCGGCCAGGTTCTCTTCTGTGAAAACAAAAGAAGAACCTCTTTTCCATTTTAACAAAGAGTAGGCAGCAAAAACTGGCAGCACATTAGAAGGTGTATCTTGCTGACATGAAAGAAAATGTCAGGAACCCTCATGATCTTTGCTTAGTGAGTCACGGAGCTGTCAGAGGAGTAAATACCCACTCGAGTGATATGGTAATGAAGTGACCGAACAGGCAACTGGATAACTGTGGGTGCTTTTGTATCTCAGAGAGGCTATCGAGGCTGGGATCATTGCCACCTGCTTTGCCTTGAGGCCGTGTTGCATTTCTTTAGGCCTCTGAAAATGTCTTGTTGTTTATCTAAAGGGTGCTTCCAGCCAGCTGCGGTGACACATACCTGTAATCCCTGCACCTGGGAGGCAGAGGCAAGAGGATCAGGAGTTCAAGACCAACTTTGGCTATATAGCAAGTTAATGGCAACAAGAGATCCTGGGCTATATGATACTTTGTCTTTTTTTTTTTTTCTTTAAATTGGTTTTTCAAGACAGGGTTTCTCTGTAGCTTTGGAGCTTGTACTGGAACTAGCTCTTGTAGACCAGGCTGGCCTCGAACTCACAGAGATCCACCTACCCCTGCCTCCCAGGGACTGGGATTAAAGGCATGCAAAACTACCACCCAGCTTAGGCTGGCTTTTTTATTCACTCAGGACCTCCTGCCTAGGAGCAGCAGTGGGGCAGGGCTTACCCATGTCAATCATCAATAAAAATAATGCCCCAGGTTTGCCCACAGTCTAACCTGATGTCAGCATTTTCTTATTTGAAGTCCCCCTTCCCTTCTAGCTCGTGTCAAGATGACAGAAAATCTAAGCAGAACACAAGTCATCCTTATTTTTCTGGTTCCTTTTATAAACGTAAAGTCGCATTGTCAACAATGTGGAATTTTATTCCCTCATACGATGATCATATATGGTAATTAAGTTTATAATGGTGCTGCTTCCTAGGAGGGTAATAATTCCTAATTAAACTTACTTGTTTGTTTGCAGCACTGGGGATCCACCCCACAACATGCTTATGTGGGTGAGCCCTTGACGAGCTAAGTTCCCAGCGCTGACCTTATTTGAACGCTTTCATGTTTACGAGTAGAAGCTGCTGGTCTCAGCGACTACGTATAGGAATCTAATGTCTGGCCCTGGGTCACGTGCGAATGGGAAGGCAGAAAGTGCCGGGGTGGGAAACAGACTCTATTGTCGGAAAAATTGCTGTCCAAAAGAAAAATGAAAGGTTTTGCTCCTTCCTGAACTCACTGAGAATAACACATTGTACCATGGAGTCAGGCCTGAGGCGATTCATCTGGAAATAAGTTGGGTTTGATTTGATTCCCAATAAGTTGCTTGTGAAAACAGACTCATTCAACCTTTCCACCCACCCATCCATCCATCCATCCATCCACCCATCCATCCATCATCCATCCATCCATCCATCCACCCACCCATCCACCCATCCATCCACCCTCCCACCCATCCATCCATCCACCCTCCCACCACCCATCCATCCACCCACCCACCCACCCACCCACCCATCCATCTATCTTTCCGCCCATCCATCCACCCATCCATCCATCCACCTTCCGACCCACCCATCCATCTATCCATCCTTCCATCCACACACCTACATACTCACTCATCCATTACCAGTAATAATGAATGATTATGGAATGTTTCCTGTGTGCCCGATATTGCCCAACTGTCACTTATAAGTTAGCTAAAATCATGCCCCCCGGTTGCTGCTATGATCTCTACTTCAGACTAGAAATCTGAGGGGCACCTAGTATTGCCATGACTAAGGATGTAGGTTATATGCATCAAATATCTAAAGACAGGCACACAAACAACAGCTCATCCTGGAAGCTTGGCCACAATAGGTACAGGTGAAAACAACTTATTAGCTATCAACAGATGTGTGGATACCCAAGCTGTGAGGTACCACCTGTACACTAGAATATATTCATCCACATAAGAACTGTAGCTGGTTGTGGTGGCACATGCAGGTAGGACTTGCGGAAGGAGGCAGAGGCAGGAGGATCATGAGTTTGAGCCAGCCTGGGCTACACATTAAAAAGAGAATAAAAAAAAAAAGAAAAGAGAAAAGGGAAAGAACAGTAGTTCATGCTATAACATAGATAACTCTTGAAAACACTGTGAGAGAAGCCAGAAAGAAAACACAGTACACATTTCCTGAGCTTTCCAGACACTGCCAGGTCCCAGGAGCAGATTAGAGGCTACGGGAGAAGAGGGAAGAGACTGCTCAATGAGGGTGAGCCTTCTGTGGAGGGCGAGGAAAACTTTTTGGAACCAGATGGTGATAATGATTACACAACTTTGTAAGTACACTCAATATCACCAGACTGTTTAAATGGTTAAAGTAGTTCCATGTCACTAAAGCCATTTTTTAAAACATTCATTTATTTTGTGGGTGGGGTGGGGTCAGTCTCTCCTCTACTCTTGGTTCTCGGGATTCATTTCATGTCATCAGGCTCGATGCTGAGCCATCCTACCAGCCCAAGGTTCCTAGTGTTTACCGTAGTTTAAAAAAAGTAATTTGGGGTTCAATGTATATGACTTTCTTGAGGTACCCTTACAGTCGGTATGTGGACAAGTTCAGCGTTTCTGTTGTTGAGATGGAGTCTGGCTGTGTTGCCCAAGCTGGCTGTGGTCACACCCCTGGGATCAAGTGCTCTTCCTACCTCAGCCTGCCAAGTGCTGGAACTACAGAACTACGGGCCCTGTTGCCACACTCGGCTAGGACTGTAGTTTTAAGATTGGTCTCATGTATCTCAGGGTAACAGCCAATTGGCTACACAGCAGAGGAAGGCTTTGAACTTCTGATCCTCTGACTGCTATCCTCCAAGTGCTGGGCTGACAGAGCAACCACACCTAGTTTATGTGGTGCTGGGGATCAAACCAGAGCCTTGCACATGCTATACACAAGTACTCTACCAACTGAGGGACATCCTTAGTCCCCCAAACTGTCTGGATCCGTGGGTATGCTTTTTTATTTAAAAGAACGTATTCAATTATTTATCTACTTTATTACTTATTTGTTTAGATAAGAAATCTTGTAGCCCAGACTTGCTTTTTGGTTTTTGTTTTTCGAGACAGGGTTTTCCTGTGCACCCCTGGCTGTGCTGGAACTCTCTCTGCACACCAGGCTGGCCTCAAACTCACAAAGATCTGCCTGCCTCTTCCTCCCAAGTGCTGGGATCAAAGGCATGCGCCACTACTTCCCTTCAACCTGAGCTTGCTCTGAACTTACTATATTGCTAAGGGTGTTCCTACCCCCTTGCCTCTGCTTCTCAAGCTGTGTATTGTAAATTACACTTGAGAATTATTTTCTGCGTGTTGTGTGGTAGTCAGAAGATGGCTTTCAGGACTCAGTTCTCCTTCCTGTAGGGGTCCGTGGGGTCGCACACATCATCCAGCTTGGCAGCAGACCCCTTTCCCCACTGAGTTTCCTCACAGGCCCATGGCTTTTTATCGTTTTGCTTTTATAAAGAGAAGAGCACACAGGCTGGGCGGTGGTGGCGCACGGCCTTTAATCCCAGCACTTGGGAGGCAGAGGCAGGCGGATCTCTGTGAGTTCGAGACCAGCCTGGTCTACAAGAGCTAGTTCCAGGACAGGCTCCAAAGCCACAGAGAAACCCTGTCTTGAAAAACCAAAAAAAAAAAAAAAAAAAAAAAAGAGCACACAGAGTTTACTACATGACTAAGGTCTATGAGCATCAGACTCCCTGTTTTAAAAATTACTTTTGTTTACTGTGTGGGTGTGGACCACAGTGAGCATGTGGAAGTCAGAGGGCAAACTGCAGGATTTGGTTCTGTTCTTTACAGCACAGTGTGGATCCCAGGGATCAAACTCAGGCTGCCAGGTTTGGTAGCAAGTGCTTTTACCTACTAGATTGTTACACACACACACACACACACCAGTGTCTTACCTGCCCCAAATCCCCATGTTTTAAAACATTTACAAAACAGTATGGTAAAAACACCATTTGTGGCCACTTAGGTTTGGACCACTTTGATGGCCTTTAGCTGCCTCCTAGCTCCATGCGCAGGAAGGACCAGGAAGACAAATAGTTTTCCAAAGAGCCCAGGAAAGAGCCTCATCTCATTTCCCCCTACATTCATGTCTGCTCCAGGTGGAGGGAGGACCAGGCCGATGGCTGCTGCTGACGATGTGGAGATGGAGACTGTGAATCTGAATACGGAGAGAGCGGGGAAGGAAGAGCTGGAGGAGGAGAAGATGAGGGAGGACGGCGAAGGTAAAGACTTCCCCAGGAGCAGAAAGGTCCACAGGATTGTCTCAAAATGGATGCTTCCAGAGCCAGTCCGAAGAACATACCTGGAGCGAGCCAACTGCCTCCCGCCGCCAGTCTTCATCATCTCCATCAGCCTGGCTGAGGTAAACACCGCCGTGTGAGGGGCCCTCACACCCCATCAGACCGGAAGCTGCAGAGAGAGTGGGGACAAAGCCGACCTTAGAGGAGAAAGCATGCAGGAAGAGGGCATAGAGGGACGAGGGCAGGACGCACAGCCTCTGCCCCCTCACTGCTCCCAGAGCGGATCTGCTCAGTCACTGCCAACCCAGGCGCTGGTTTCATCCATGATGGAAATTTGATGCTTGACATTGGCTGATTTCACTAACTTCATTTCATTTTAGCTGGTGGGGTTTTTAGAAACCAGAGGACTTTGGGCATGCAAATTAGTCCCCCCCCCCCCCGCAGCCCCCAAAACAGGGTTTCTCTGTGTAGCTCTGTAGACCAGGCTGGCCTCGAACTCACAGAGATTCACCTGCCTCTGCCTACTGAGTGCTGGGATTAAAGGTGTGCACCACCTCCCCACCCCACTTTTTTTTTTGAGATGGGATCTGATGTTGTAGCTCAGGCTGGCCATAAACACACTATAATCCTTTTGTAACAACCACCCGGGTGTTGGGATGACAGGCATGCACCACCATATTTAGCTTGCAAATTGTCTTTATCTCATGAAACAAAACAGACTGGCCGGTCAGGTTGGCCTGGGTGTATATTTAGAGCAGTCTCCAGCTGCCTGAGCTTCAGAGGAAAATGTGGCACCTGCTGTGGGTGGACTGTGGGCTGATGGGCTGTGTTCTCGGTCTATGACCTGCTCGGCTTCCCTGGTTTCCAGAAAGAGGACAAAGCTCAGAGAGGTGGGGGGGATGAGTCACCACGGGTGTGTCTTAATGCCTGGGAAGGGCCGGCTGCTCCTGTCCTCAGTAAATCCAAGGTTTTTCTCCTTGGCAGCTGTCTTAGGAATGAGTTGGTAGAGATGACTGCCCGGAGGGGCATGACTTCAGGGGCCTTAGGATGTCCCTCCTGTGATCCTCTTAATTCCCACTAATGCCCCGGCTTGGGTGTCCAGGGACTGTAGTAGTCAGGGCTCCCAGCAGAACAGAACCAATAGGGTGTGAGGAAGGGAACTGGAAGGGGAGGGGGTTTCAGCTCTCCAAACTCCAGGGCAAGCTGGAGACCCATTAAAGGTTTTTTTACTGAGTCCAAGGCCACTTGCTAGTATAATTCTTTATCTCAAGAAATAGTCTTTTTTGGGGCTGGAGAGATGGCTCAGCGGTTAAGAGCATTGCCTGCTCTTCCAAAGGTCCTGAGTTCAATTCCCAGCAACCACATGGTGGCTCACAACCATCTGTAATGAGACCTGCAGGAAGAATACTGTATACATAATAAAAAAAACAAATAAATAAATATTTAAAAAAAATATTAAGAAATAGTCTTTTTGCCGGGAGGTGGTGGTGCACGCCTTTAATCCCAGCACTCGGGAGGCAGAGGCAGGCAGATCTCTGTGAGTTCGAGGCCAGCCTGGTCTACAAGAGCTAGTTCCAGGACAGGAACCAAAAGCTACGGAGAAACCCTGTCTCGAAAATCCAAAAAAAAAAAAAATAGTCTTTTTCTATTAATGCTTTCTTCTGAATCTTCACACAAGATGGAGGGAAAAGGATACTAAATTAAATATTCATCTCATCTCAAGAAATGATCTCAGGTGGGCATGGGGACATGATCTTGTAATATTAGACTTGGAAACTGAAGTAGAAGAATCTTGAGTTTAAGAGAGCCTGGACTACACAGCAAGTTTGAGGCTAGCCTAGGCTATATAATGGGATGCCGCAACTAAGTAATTCACTAGCTAGCTAAGTAGTTAATGGGTAGACAATACACAAAAGAGCAAAAAACTCATAGAAACATCTGGAATGATTAAAGATGTATCTGAGTCTATATGAACCTTGCCAAATTGAACATAAAATGATCCATTGCAGAAACCAAACCTTTCATAGCAAGTGTGCAAGCATTTCCTGTAGCAGGCTTTCTTGGATCACCAACCACTACCAAATCAAGACAAGAAGACTTATTGTCAATTATGAATGCTCAGCCTTAGTTTAGGCTTGTCCCACCAGCCTTTTTTTAACATATATTAACCTGTTTTTCTTCGTCTACATTTTGCCTTGGGGCCTTTAACCTTTCTGTCTGCATGTTCGGCTTTCCTGCTTCCTCCATGTCTGACTGGGGGGCCCCAGGTGTTGCCCTCTTTCTCTCCTCTTCTCTCTTGAGCCTAGATTCCCCCTCTGACTTATTCTTTCTGCCCAGCAATCCTGCCTATCCCTCTTCTGCCTAACTATTGGCTGTTCAGCTTTTTATTGGACCAATCAGGTGCCTTAAGCAGGCAAGGTGAAACAAATACAACACATCTTTACGTGGTTAAACAAACGCAGCACAAACAATTGTAACACATCTAGTAATATTCCACAGCCATTTCCAGAGGCATCTTTCTTATGGGGCTTTAGTACAAGACTGGGAAGCAAGCGTTAGGCTCTGTGTCTGGATTCTCTGTGTGTCTGGACTACTCAGTGTGACTGTGCATCCCCCAGTACTGAGTGCGCGTGAGGACAAGGGAGGCGCTGGAGAAAGAATGGGAGGTGATCTCATGTTTAAGAATAAGGCAGTGCTTTGAGAGCATCGCTCCCCACAGTGAGGTCCTGGAGCAGGGGCTGTAGTCGCTGCCTCTTACAGGAGAACCAGTTGAGGAATTTGCTCTGTTGATAGAGGACTTGCCTAGCATGTTTGAAACCCAGGATTTACTCCCCGACATTTTGTAAAACCAGATACAGTAGAACATACCTGTAATCCTAGCTCTCAAGAACTGGAGACAGGAGGATGGGAACTTCCAGCAAGGTCACCCCTTGCCACTTTGCAAGTTCAAGGCCAGTCTGGGACTCATGAAACTGTTTCAAAAAGAGAAAAGAAATGTTCTAAAAATTCTTCTATTGTTAATGTTACATAGTTCCAAAGTGCCTTAGATCTAAAACACTAATGTTGTCACAGTGTTGGCTGAGTGCCTCTTTTTTTTAATTTTTTATTTTATTTTATTTTTTTGAGATAGGATTTCTTTGTGTTATACCTCTGGCTGTCCTGGAATTCACTTTGTAGACCAGGCTGGCCGAGGTCTCACAGAGATCCACCTGCCTCTGCCTCCCAAGGATTAAAGATGTGCACCACCTCTGCCCAGGGGCTGAGTGTCTCTTAACAGAAATGCTTACAATTTCTTTGGTGCCTGAGGAAGCCAGTTATTGGATCCCTCCTGGAGCTGGAGTTACAAATGGTTGTGAGCTGCTCGATATGTGTGCTGGGAATTGAACTCTGGTCCTTTGGAAGAGCAATGTATGATTTTATTCACTGAGCCATCTCTTCAGCACCTGTATTTCAGAATATTTCTGAATAATTTTTTAAATTATGAGTATATGTGTGTGGGAGTGGGGAGGGTTGTGCATGTGAGTGCAAGCACCTTCGGAGGCCAGAAGAGGGCACTAGATTCCCGGGAGCTGGAGTTAGAAGCAGTTGTAAGCAGTTAGGTGTGGATGCTGCGAACTGAACTCAGGTCTTCTGCAGGAGCAGTGGATACATTCTTCATGGCTGAGACATCTGTCCGGCTCCAATTTTGGACTATTTGAATAGACTTTAGTACACCTGAATCTAAAAGTTTGGGTCTGGGGAAATAGTTCAGTCTGTAAAATACTTCCCATGCAGGCATGCGGACGTGACTTTGATCTTCAGAGTCCGTGTAAAAGAGTCAGGAGTTAGGGTGTGCGCTTGCATCCCAGCTCTAGGGAGGTGGAGACAAATGGATGGATTCCCGAGGCTTGCTAGTCAGCTAGCCTTGCCTACCGTTTGAGCTTCAGGTGAATGAGAGACTCGGTCTCAAAAAGCAATGTGTCTGGCGCCTGAGGAATGACGCCTGATGTTGACCTCTGGCCTTCATGTGTAAGTGCGCACCCATGAAGGTCAGCACGCGCATAGAAACCTGAAACTTGTCCTCTAAATTTTTACTATTTTATGTGTATGGTGTTCTGCCTGTGTATGTGTGTGTACCACATGTGTGTCTCATGTCCTCAGAGGCCAGATAACTGGAGTTAGAGGTGGTTGTGAGCCACTGTGTGGGTGACGGGAATCAAACCTGAGCCCTCTGGAAGATCACTGAACCATCTCTTCAGATGCCTAAAACTTTATGAAGTGTCACATTGGTTTTCAAAAACTTCAAAATTGGGAGCATTTTGGATTTTAAATTTTATATTCCAGAGGCTGAACCTGCACTATTAACTAACCTTCAGGCTTTACTTGCTTGGATTTGATTGATTTTCTCACTAATGTCTCCTTCTCGTCCTCTGATCCCTTCCAATATGGGGTTTCACACTGCATTAAGTTGTCCTGCCTCCCCAGGCTCCTCTGATTCAGTACGGCTTCTCAGTGTCTTTCATGACCTTGATAAAGATGAAGTATATTGGCCAGGTACCTTGTAGAGTGTCCTTGTCTGGGGCTGTCTGATTATTTTTTTCATAGTTAGGCTAGAGTTGGGAAGAATGTCATAGAATGTAAAGTGGCCTTCCCATCACAACAGGAGGTAGGACCTCACACGACATCACTGGGACACAGGACCTCACACGACATCACTGGGACACAGGACCTCATATGACATCACTGGGACACGGACCTCACACGACATCACTGGGACACGGGACCTCACATGACATCACTGGGACACGGGACCTCACACGACATCACTGGGACACGGGACCTCACATGACATCACTGGGACACGGGACCTCATATGACATCACTGGGACACGGGCCTCACATGACATCACTGGGACACGGGACCTCATATGACATCACTGGGACACGGGACCTCATATGACATCACTGGGACACGGGCCTCACATGACATCACTGGGACACAGGACCTCACATGACATCACTGGGGTACCAATCTTCATCACTGTCTGCCAGGTTTCTGGGCTGTGAAGTCAGAGTGAAGGTGAGGGACACAGGTCCTGTAATCAGGAAGGATGACAGAGCACACACAGAGTGACAACAGAGGATTGGGAGAGCGAAGAGAAAGGGACTCAGGCTGCTTCACTACAGTCCGGCCTAACGCTGCTCCTCACCATGAGGAAGTCTGACCATCGTGGGAGATGGTGGAGAAGTTTAACTCCACTGTCTTCGGAGCCCATGAAGAGCTAATCGCTTAGGCGCAGATACTGCCCGTGGGGCCCACCTTCAGAGGAAGCCTGGTTAACCAGCATGATTGCTCCTCCTTGACAGCTGGCCGTGTTTGTTTACTATGCCGTGTGGAAGCCTCAGAAGCAGTGGATCACTCTGGACAAGGGGATCTTGGAAAGTCCCTTAACTTACCTCCCCGAGAAGAGGGAAGAAGCCTGGAGGTTTATCTCATACATGCTGGTCCACGCCGGGTAAGGGGTGATGACTGACCGTGTCAGAAGAGATCAGAAGTAATTGTTAGGCTGGGCAGGGTGGCACATGCCGGTCATTCCAGTACTTGGCAGTCAGAGGCAAGAAGATCATGGCAAATTTGAGGTCCACACGACCTACATGTTGAATTTCAGGCCAGCCAGCCACTTAGCCAGACTCTGTCTTAAAACACAAACAAAAACAGAGGGTCTGTGAGATGGTTCAGAGGGTAAGGTAAAGACACCTGCCAAACCCAACAACCCAAGTTCAATCCCCAGAACCCACATAGTGGAAGGCGAGAACTGACCCCCACAAATTGTCTACACACACACACACACACACACACACACACACACACACAAAGATTTTAATTTTTTAAAAAAGTAAAACAAAGCAGGGTGCAATGGAACATACCTTGAATCCCAGCACTAGGAAAGCAGATGCAAGCAGACTCCTGAATTGAAATCTAGCCGGGTCTACACAGAATTCCAAGTCAGTCAAGGCTACATAGTGAGATCCTGCCAGAGGATGGGGGGTGGGGTGAAGGAAGAGAGATAAAAAAATCCAAATTGCCACTGATCTGTTTGGAACATTTGTTGTTATAATTATGATGATGATGATTATTGGTGTGTGTGTATCTGCCACATGTGCACTGGTGCCCTTGGAAGCTAGAAGTACTGGACTCTGCATATCTGTCTAATGTTAGTATTGATATAAGAATGCTAATGAGCTGAACACCTTTGATTTCAGCACTCTAGAAGCAGAGAACTCTATGAGTTCAAGGCCAGCCTGGTCTATAGAGTGAGTTCCAGGACAGCCAGTTAGGGCTACACTGAGAAACCCTGTCTTAAAAAAAAAGAGAATATTAATGAGATGAGACCAAGTCATTATCAAACCAAAAGTAGGTCACCCTACTCGGATGTCGTCCAGTCACCTTTTAGGTGAAGAAGCAGAACTGAATCAACCACCAGTCCGCCTCCTCCAAACGCACTGTAAAAATTAACTTGTAAGCATATTGACTGATGCGCACTAGGATTTAACCGACTCTCTACCAGTTAGCAGCTCAAGGAGGTACAGAAGCCGCATAGGTGGAACTGGAGAGAAGGCACAGTGGTTAAGAGCACTTGTTGGGCATGGTCTCATGTGTGTGTCACCTCAGCGCTGTGACAAGTGGAGACAGGAAGATTACTGGTGCTCGCTAGCTGCCAGCCTAGCTGACTAACACAGGCCTCGGGTTCAGGAGAGGCGCTGCCTCAGTGAATGGTGGAAGAGAAGCCCCAGCACCCTCTCCTGGGCTCAGGGTACAGTTACACAACACCTGTACCTCCCTCCTCCCTACACACACACACACACACACACACACACACACACACACACACACGAGGGAAGGAAGCAAAAAAAGAAAGATAATGAACAGGGAGGCAATGTTTGCTTCCTAGTTTTGTTTACAGTTCCTTCCTCCCTCTCTCCCTCCTTCCCTCTCTCCCTCCTTGCTTCCCTCCCTCCCTGTTTCCCTCCCTCCCTCCTTTCCTTCCTCTCTTCCCCCCTTCTTTCTCTCTCTCTCTCTCTCTCTCTCTCTCTCTCTCTCTCTCTCTGTAGTTCTTGCTATTCTGGAACTCACTCTGTAGACCAGGCTGACCACAAACTCACAGAGGTGCCCCTGTCTCTGCCTCCTGAGTGCTGAGATTAAAGGCATGCGCCACCACCACTGCCCAGTCATTTACAGTTTCTTAAATGTGAGAGCCTCTCAAGACCTTACTCAGAACCAGGCGACCCATGGTGCTCGCCTACAATCTCAGTGGGTAGGAGGTAGAGACAGGAGCATCAAGACTTCAAGGGCAGCATAGGCTAAGTGTCTCAAAAAAAAGAGAAAAAGTGTGAAAAGTGTTTACTCATTGTGTTTGGTCCCCCATGCCCACTGTGGCCAGCAGATTGCTTGTGGCTGCCCTGCTTCTTCGGGGGAGCCCTGTGGTATTGGGTGAATTGAGCTTCACCCATGTGACCCACCCCACCCTGGATTTAAATGACCGGTTTTTTTTTTTTAAAATATTTATTTATTTATTATGTATACAATATTCTGTCTGTGTGTATGACCGCAGGCCAGAAGAGGGTACCAGACCTCATTCCAGATGGTTGTGAGCCACCATGTGGTTGCCTGGAATCGAACTCAGGACCTTTGGAAGAGCAGGCAGTGCTCTTAACCTCTGAGCCATCTCTCCAGCCCAAATGACCGGTTTTTGATCAGTGACTAAGCAGACACCCAGGGCAGGGTGCTGGGTGCTTTGCATAAAACCCGGAGCTTTATGTGTGCTGAGCAAGTTTTTCATTAAAATTTGTTTTGAGACAGGGTCTCATGATGTAGCCCTGGCTGTACTGGAACTAACTGTGTAGATCAGAATGGCCTTGAACTCATAGAAATCCACCTGCCTCTGCCTCCCAGGAAAAGGAATGAAAGTAGTGCTCCACCATGCCTGGACTTCATCCTTCTAGTTGGTTTCCTTGGTGTTTGTTTCAGTTATAATTGTTGTAAAGCAGGATTTATACATTTATATTTCTAAAATACTTTCATTTGTTTTACATATTGAAGCTTCAGGTAAGATTTTATTTCAAAATAGATAAGAGTTGGGCTGGAGAGATGGCTCAGTCATTAAGAGCCATTGACAGCTCTTCCAGAGGTCCCTAGTTCAATTCCCAGCAACCACATGGTGGCTCACAGCCATCTATAGTGGGATCTAATGCCCTCTTCTGGGGTGCAGGCACACATGCAAATAAATCACTATATACATAAAAAAGTTTTAAGAATTATTTTTTAAAAAGAGAAGAGAAAAAAAGAGAATGAAATAGACAACAGAGTTGCCTGCTTAAAAAAAAACTAGAATGGAGACCGGCTCAGTGGTTAAGAAGGCTTGCTGCTCAGCCAGGAGGATGGTAACTGTGATCCTAAGACTCACATGGAGTGACCCACAGTTTCCGTGACTCCAGCACCAAATGATGCGGCACTTTCTTCTGGCTGCCACAGGGGCTCGCTCTCTCTGTCTATTAAAAGATAGGCAATAAGATTCTAGCACATTCTTAAGGAGCACTACCACATGCAAGTCTCCCATGACCACAGCCGCTTGGATATTTGACCGGTGTTTGTCTCTGCAGAGTCCAGCACATCGTGGGCAATCTTTTCATGCAGCTCGTTCTGGGCATCCCCTTGGAAATGGTCCACAAAGGCCTCCGAGTGGGGCTGGTGTACCTGGCAGGAGTCCTTGCAGGTCAGTGTTCTGGGGGACATGGATTCGACACATTTGGGCTCTTGAGACGAAGCCAAAGGTAACAGATGCCTACAGTGGGCTTTTTACTGCAGTCAGTATTTATTGCACCCAGCATATGACATGCATAATTATAATATGCTAAGGAACATGGTAAGTATTAGAGATGACTGGTCTAGAGATTAGATATTAGAGATGTTCCAAGCCCCTGAAGAAAGGTCACAGTGGCTGTCCTCAGATTAACCTCGTAGCATTCACATGATTCAAAACTGCAAACAGCTTGGTGTTTGGATCTTGAAGCCCCTGATCTGCTAGACCAAAGGGCCTGGAGAGTAACATGGCCAGATTTGTATTTAAGAAAGACACTTTGCTGGGTGTGGTGGTGCACGATTTTAACCCCAGTGCTTGGGAGGCAGTCTTCAGAGCCAGTTCAGATCAGCCAGGGCTACATAGATATCTCAAAATAAACAAATGCTCTCATTTTGAGAAAGCTGTAGATTGATATGAGTTCTAAGAAATGGTACCTTAAGATCCCAAATGCTTTGCTCGTTTGTCCCCATGTTGCCATCCTGTAAATTTTTAAAAATTTTTTTAATTTATTTATTATGTATACAGTGTTCTGCCTGCAGGTAGACATGCAGGCCAGAAGAGGGCACCAGATCTCATTACAGATGGTTGTGAGCCACCAAGTGGTTGCTGGGAATTGAACTCAGGACCTCTGGAAGAGCAGCCAGTGCTCTTAACCACTGAACCAACTTCCCAGTCCACCATCCTATAAATTTTAACATAGCAACACAGCCAAGATATTCACGGTCATGCAGTTCATGGTCACGCCGTTCACAGTCATGTAGTTGAGAGAGTAAATACCCACAACCCCAGGGAACCCTCACTCTGCCTTTTTATGGCTCAGCCTCTTTCTTCCCGCCTCTCTTCCTTCTTTACCACTGACAAACACTAGCCTGTTCTCACTATTTGTGTCATTTCAGGAAAGCATCATGGTTAATTTTTGCCACCGCAGAGAAGTATTCTGTTTACGGTCTTGTCTTGTTTTGGTTTGGTTTTTCGAGACAGGGTTTCTCTGTAGTTTTGGAGCCTGTCCTAGAACTAGCTCTTGTAAACCAGGCTGGCCTCGAACTCACAGAGATCTGCTTGCCTCGGCCTCCCTAGTGCTGGGATTGAAGGCATGCACCACCACCGCCCAGCTGTGTTACAGCCTTGTCTAGTTGTTGACTCCTTGAAGGATAGCTGAGTTGTTTTCCCCATTGCATTTTGAGACAGGGCATCCTGTAGCCCAGGCTAGCCTTTAACTTGCTAAATAACCAAGGATGCTCTGAATTCCTGATCCTCCTCCCACCACTTCCCCAGTGGTAGGATTCTGGGTTTATATGGTGTTGGGGACTCAGCAGCTTTCTGACTTCTAGGCAAATACCTGCTGAGCTGCATCCCCAGCCTTTCTTTTCTTCTGTTCTCTTTTCTTCTTCTTTTTTTCTTTTATGAGATAGGGTTTCTCTGTGTAGCCCTGGCTGTCCTGGAACTCTCTCTATAGACCAGGTTGACTTTGAACTCAGATATGCACCTGCTTTTGTCTCCCAAGTGCTGGGATTAAAGACACGCACCACCACCACAACCCAACCTTTCTGTTTTTGAGACTGGTCTCATAGCTCAAGCTGCCTAAGCACTCTCTAATGTAGCCCAAGCTGGCCTCAAACACAAGATCCTCTGCCTTAGCCTTCCCCGTACTGAGATTGCCGGAATGAGTCATGTCTTAGGGTTTCTATTGCTGAGATGAAACATGTGACCAAAAAGCAAGTTGGGGAGAAAAGGTTCATTCAGCTCACACTTCAGCATTGCTAGTTACCAATGAAGGAATTAGGGGGGAAAAACTCAAACAGGGCAGGAACCTGGAGGCAGAGCTGATGCAGAGGCCATGGAGGAATGCTGCTTATTGGCTTGCTTCTCATGGCCTGCTCAGCCTGCTTTCTTATAGAACCCAGGACCACCAGCCCTGGGGGGGTACCACCCACAATGGGCTGAACCCTCCCTCATCAATCACTAATTTAAAAAATGCCCGACAGGCCTGCCTACAGTCCAATCTTTATCTTATGGAGGCATTTTCTTGACTGAAGTTCCCCCTTGATGATTTCATTTTATTATTTATTTAAATTTATTTGTTTATATATACAGTGTTCTGCCTGCCTGTATGCCTGCAGGCCAGAAGAGGGCACTGGGTATTATTACAGATGGTTGTGAGCCAAGATGTGGTTGATGGGAATTAAATTCAGGGCCTCTGGAAGAGCAACCTGTGCTCTTAACCTCTGAGCCAATCTCCAGCCCTTCAGATAATTTTAACTTGTGTCAAATTGACATAAAATTGTCCATCACACACTACCACATCTGGTACCGATATTTTTCTCCCTTGTAGGCTTATTTTCAAATAAGATCTCGATAGGTTGTGGTGGTGCACACCTTACTCCCAGCCCTCGGGAGGTAGAGATGGATCTCTGGTTTCGAGGTCAGCCTGGTCTAGACTGAGTTCCAAGATAGTCATGGCTACCCAGGGAAACCCTGTCTCAAAAAAACAAAACAAACAAACAAACAAACAAACAAATCCAATAAGTTTCAAATATTATTCCTGGGCATTGGATGTCAACATGTGGTTTAGGGATTACAATTCAACTCAGTTTAGTGTTTGCTTTTCCTTTCCTAGATGATGGGAGATATTTGTCAACTGCTATTGAGAGACTTGCTGATTTGTAGTGTGCAGTGGCAGGAATATGGACAGCAGGAAGCCGTTTTGAGCTATCGTAAACAGAGTGAAGGCCTGTTGCCAAGGCTTAGCTCCCCATCAGATGTATCCAGGTTCTTCTCTTTCTGTTTCTTCCTGCCTCTTTTTGTCCTGTCCTCGAATACAGAGGTGTAGACTTGCGGGCTTCCTGCATCTATTACACATTCCTGTTCTGCCCAGGGCTGGATTTGAACCTGTGAGCAGCACTGCCCCAGCATCAGAGAAGTCTTGCAGGAGAACGTGAAGGGTTATCTCACGGTCTCTGGTGATTTGGGCAATTGCTTCTTGGCAGGTTTCTCTCACCATTCAGGTCTATGGTTCCCAATCTGTTGGGATCACCTGCAAATACACTAGAACCTAGTGATTCCCAGTGGTCAAAAGAAAGCCAAGATGCCAAGTGAGCTCTCTGTCACCCTTGCCTTTTCTCTACACTTCTCCATGTGCCCTGTCACCTCAGTTTCTTACCCTTGCTACCTTGAGGTGTGCCTGCTGATCCACAGTGCCAGCGTCAGAAGAAACTGTTAAGGCAGAGTGTTGGGGCCAGATCAGATCTGACTCTAGAATTCCCCTTCCCGTAAGCTCACAGGAGCACATGAAAAGACTGAGCTATGCTGCTTGCCTTCAGCTCAGCATCTGCAACCTGACTGATGGTCACAGACACCTGGAGCGCTCGGGACACCTGAGGCCACTCAGATCCCCCTCAGATCCCACCAGACCTACTGACTCAGACAATCTGGGGACAGGACCCTGGAACCCACATTTTTGTAGGGCATTTGACAATAAAGTGAACTGTTTTATGTCAACAGCAGAAGTCCCTGCTCTTTCATAGACTAATAGTTTAGTCCTGTCAGTTTTCCTTGTATTAGCCTGTCTGTTATGTGACTAGTGCTAATCGGGTAGGTTTATATGTGTATTTCTGATGGCTCATGACTCCCTCTTGCCGTGTCGGCGTCTCTGAAAGGTTTGTTTGAATTATCTGCCCATTTGAAATTTTGGCTCACGTTCTTTATTGAATGGAACTGTATATGACATGCAGGTATTTTCTTCTGTCTGCATTTTGTCATTCATTCCCTTTTTCGGTTTTGGTAGGGTAGGGATTGAGCCAGTGCCTACATGCTTGCTGAGCGAGGCTATACAGCTAAGCTGCCTCTGCAGCCTCTTTTCTTTCCCTACCCCTCTCTTTTTATTAGCTTATTTTTTTGTTTATTTATACAATTTGTCCATTTTGGTTTGTGATATGTAGAATGACATTGACTTTCTCATGTTGAATCAAGCTTGCTTTTGGGAGGTCAAATGCCACTTGGCCATAGTATGTTATGATTTTTATAGACTATTGGATTCAATTTATTAAAGTTTTAAAAGACTAATTTTGTTTTGTTTGTTTGATTTTTTTTTTGTTTTGTTTTTGGAGACAGGGTTTCCTCGGTGAGTAGCCTTGGCTGTTCTGAAACTCACTCTGTGGAACAAGCTGGCCTCGAACTCTCAGAGATTCACCAGCTTCTGCCTCCTGAGTGCTGGGATTAGAGGAGTGTGCCCACCACCACCAGGCTGATTTGTTTTTAATTATGTGTATGTGTGTGGGTGTGTGCATATGAGTGCAAGTGCCAGCTGAGGCCAGAAATATTGGTTCTCTCTCCTCCTCCCCTTCCTCTTCCTCCTCCATCTCTCCTTCCTTTCCTACCCCCCTCTCTCTCCTTTCCTCCCTCCTACTCTTTGGGGGCCCACCACCCAGCTCCCAAATAAATACATGGAGACTTACTCTTACTTCTGAATGCCTGGCCTTAGCTTGGCTTAATTCTGGCCAGTTTTCTAACTTAAATCAACCCATTTCTCTTCTATGTTTTGCCTCTGGGCCTTTTATCTTTCTTTATTCTATTTATCTTTCTTTACTCTTACTCTGTGGCTGGCTGTGTAGCTGGCTCCTGGTGCCCTCCTCTACCTCTCCTTTTCTTGCTTCTCTAGAGTCTAGATTTCTCCCATTATTTATTTTCTCTGCCTGGAAGCCCCACCTATCCTTCTCCTGCCTTGCTATTGGCTATTCAGCTCTTTACTAGACCAGTCAGGTGTTTCAGGCAGACAAAGTAACACAGCTTCACAGAGTTAAACAAATGCAACATCAAAGAATGCAACACATCTTTGCATCACTGAATAAATATCCCACAGCATAAACAAATGTAACACATCTTAAGCTATTATTCCATATCACCTCCCTTCTTCCTTTGTTTCCAGAGCACTCAGATTTGGGCAAGTACTCTCCTACTGGGTCAGATCCCATAGTCCTTGGCTGTAGTTTTCTTGTAATGAATTTGCTCATTTTGCACTAAAGTAAACAACAAGTAGGGAAGTGTCTTAGCCTCTTTGACTTTATGGAGAAGGTTAGGTGGAGTTGTCATTACTCTGGGGATCAAACCCAGAGCCTTGCACACAGTAGGGGGGCTGGCACTCTGCCACTGAGGCATATTCTCAGCCCTACGATCCCTTCTCATTTCAATGATTGTTACAGGTCAGCAGAGAAGTGGGGTGGATGCCTGTAATCCTAACACCCAGGAGATGGAGGCAGGAGGATCAGGAGTTCAAGGCTACCCTCTGCTACATAACAAGTTTGTAAACAGCTTGGTCTATGTGAGACACTGTCAAAAAACAAAACAAAACCCCAGCAATAAAGCCATTTCAGCCTGTAATTTGCTTTGTGGAAAGATTTTAAAGTTTAATTCAATTTTAAAAATTGTTATCAAGCCAGGTGTGGTAGCACAACTTTATTTATTTTATTTTATTTTATTTTTTAAATTATTTATTTATTATGTATACAGTATTCTCAGTATTCTGTCTGCATGTATGCCTGCAGGCCAGAAGAGGGCACCAGACCCCATTACAGATGGTTGTGAGTCACCATGCCGTTGGCTGGGAATTGAACTCAGGACCTTTGGAAGAACAGACAGTGCTCTTAACCACTGAGCCATCTCTCCAGCCCCGGTAGCACAACTTTAATCCCAGCACTCAGGCCAGCCTGGCCTACAGAATAAGTTCTAGGGCAGCCCAAGGCCACTTAGTAAGATGTGGGTTAAAAAATAAACAAAATTAAAAGACCAAAACAAAAACAAAATCCATTTCCCATCTTTTTATTTATTATCTGGTGAATATGCTGTGGTAAAAATTTTCCCATTTATTTTGTTTTGCTCTTGTCTTTTGAGATAGGATTTTATTATGTAGACCAGACTGACCTTGAATTTGTGGCAGTCCTCCTACCTCTGCCAACCATGAGCTGGGATTAAAAGTATGTGCTTCTGTGCCAACTTTTCATTCTACATATGTATGTATGTATGTATGTATGTATGTATGTAGTGTATGTGTGTATTTGAGAGTACCATGGTATGCATGTTGAAGAGATGTTTCTCCTCCTCCTCTTGTGCCCCTCCCCTTCCTCTCCCCCTCCTCATAACAGAAATTTCTTTTGAGAAAGTTGTTCCTTCTTGAGTGCTTCCTCAGCACATTCTTTATTTGTTTTCATATGTATGGGAGTTTTGCCTGCATGCACACATGGCACACATGCATACAGTGCCTGCATGCACACATGGCACACACGAATACAGTGTCTGCATGCACACATGGCACACATGCATGCAGTGCCTGCATGCACACATGGCACACACGAATACAGTGTCTGCATGCACACATGGCACACATGCATAGTGTCTGCATGCACACATAGCACACATGCATACAGTGTCTGCATGCACACATGGCACACACGAATACAGTGTCTGCATGCACACATGGCACACATGCATACAGTGCCTGCATGCACACATGGCACACACGAATACAGTGTCTGCATGCACACATGGCACACATGCATACAGTGCCTGCATGCACACATGGCACACATGCATACAGTGCATGCACACATGGCACACACGAATACAGTGTCTGCATGCAAACATAGCACACACGAATACAGTGTCTGCATGCACACATGGCACACACCAATACAGTGTCTGCATGCAAACATAGCACACATGCATACAGTGTCTGCATGCACACATGGCACACATGCATAGTGTCTGCATGCACACATAGCACACATGCATAGTGTCTGCATGCACACATGGCACACATGCATACAGTGCATGCACACATGGCACACACGAATACAGTGTCTGCATGCAAACATAGCACACATGCTTACAGTGTCTGCATGCACACATGGCACACACGAATACAGTGTCTGCATGCACACATAGCACACATGCATACAGTGCCTGCATGCACACATGGCACACACGAATACAGTGTCTGCATGCACACATGGCACACATGCATAGTGTCTGCATGCACACATAGCACACATGCATAGTGTCTGCATGCACACGTGGCACACATGCATACAGTGCCTGCATGCACACATGGCACACACGAATACAGTGTCTGCATGCACACATGGCACACATGCATACAGTGCCTGCATGCACACATGGCACACACGAATACAGTGTCTGCATGCACACATGGCACACATGCATACAGTGCATGCACACATGGCACACACGAATACAGTGTCTGCATGCACACATGGCACACATGCATACAGTGCCTGCATGCACACATGGCACACACGAGTACAGTGTCTGCATGCACACATGGCACACATGCATACAGTGCATGCACACATGGCACACACGAATACAGTGGCTGCATGCACACATGGCACACACGAATACAGTGTCTGCATGCACACATGGCACACACGAATACAGTGTCTGCATGCACACATAGCACACATGCATAGTGTCTGCATGCACACATGGCACACATGCATACAGTGCCTGCATGCACACATGGCACACATGCATAGTGTCTGCATGCACACATAGCACACATGCATAGTGTCTGCATGCACACATGGCACACACGAATACAGTGTCTGCATGCACACATGGCACACATGCATACAGTGCCTGCATGCACACATGGCACACATGCATAGTGTCTGCATGCACACGTGGCACACATGCATACAGTGCTTGCAATGACCAGACTAGGCATCAGATCTCCTGGAACTGGAGTTATGAGTGGTTGTGAGCTACAAGGAAGAGCAGCCGGTGCTTGTAACAGCTGAGTCATATCTCCAACCCTCAAACATTCTTTTTTACTACAAAATATAGATGCTATTACATCCCAAGGGAGGTCATGAGAGGAAAAGACAAACCATGAAAGTAAAAAGCATAGCAAGGACATCATTTGGCTCACCTTTTGGTACAGATATCTAGGACTGGGTTAGTGAGTTAGTTTCATCATGCTTGGAGTATATGATTGGACCTTATGACAAGAAGGATGCTGAGGCCACCTTCAGGGAGATGGCTCAGAGGGTACAGCTCTTTTTTATAATTATAGGAGATAAGAATACCTCTAGTACTCAGAACATGGTTTATCACACTTTTTTTTTTTGTTTTTTGTTTTTTGTTTTTCGAGACAGGGTTTCTCTGTGGCTTTGGAGCCTGTCCTAGAACTAGCTCTTGTAGACCAGGCTGGCCTCGAACTCACAGAGATCTGCCTGCCTCTGCCTCCTGAGTGCTGGGATTAAAGGCGTGTGCCACCATCGCCTGGCCACACTTATTTTTTGTGTACGTGTGTATGTGCGTGTAGACTCTTGTGGAGGTCAGAGGACAACTTGTTGGAGCTGGCTCTTTCCTTCCCCCATGTGGGTCCCAGGGATCAAGTTATCGGGCTTGGCAGCAAGCTTTTACCTGTTGAGCAGTCTCACTGGCCCAGCTGACGTCATAGCTAGCCAGGCTACAAAACACGTCACCCAGTGCTTTTGGATGATATATGTATCAAGTCTTTCATGTCCCCTCAAAGCCTACTGGGGACTGTTTTATTCGTATTTCCATGGTATAGACAGGAGACATAATGTCCTGAAGTCATGGCTAATGAGTCTGGCTCCAGAGCCTGAGCTCCTGTCGTTTAACTTTTAGCAGATGTTTAATGTTTCAGAAATAACCTGTGTGCCCGAATCTACACAGCACAGAAGGACAAGGTGGAATTGTTGCTTGCTAATATGAAAATGGTCAAAATGTCTCATATTTTTACTTTAGACTTTTAAAAACCTACTTCATTTATAATTCTTACAGTTCTGTCTGGCCTTTTGTGTTTTATTTCTCCAGGGTCCCTCGCCAGCTCCATTTTTGACCCCCTTAAGTCTCTCGTGGGTGCTTCAGGAGGAGTCTATGCACTGATGGGAGGCTATTTTATGAATGTTATAGTGGTAAGAATTTCGGGGGTGGAAGTCTCAAAGACAGGCTGTCATGTAGCCCAGGCTAGCCTGGTACCTGACATGTGGGCAGAGGATGGCCTTTACTTTGCTCCTCGCCTAGGTTCTGGGGCTTTACCCTTTTACATGCAGAGATAACAAGCAAACACCACCGTACATCATTTCTGGACTTAAAAAAAAATCCAACTTGTTTATTTTATTATTTATGTTATAAATATAAATATATTTATTATATTATTGCATGTGTATTTTCCCTCTATGTATATATGTATGCCATGTGCATACTTGGAGTGTATAGAGGTTAGAAGAGGGATCTGACCCCCTCAAGGTGGAGTTACAGATGGTCGTGAGCCATTATGTGGGTGTTAGACTCAAACCCAAATCCTCTGGAACCATCTCGCCAGCTCTTAGACTTTTTTTGCTTTTTGTTTTCTTTATAAATGAGTAGTTGTTTGATTCAGGGAATCCTGATTTATCACCATTTACTGAGTTCTTAGCTAAGAATTGTTTGGCCACTAGAAAAGACCACTCCCAGTCTGTCTGTTGTAACCTTTTGTGTCAGGCCGGCACCAGGATACCATGTAGTCAGACGTCTGTGTTTTCATTTATTAAGTTGCTTCTCCTTCCCCTTTCAAATAATAAACTTTCTTCCCAGGGAGCTAAAGTTCGATTAAAAATAACAGCTTAGAGCCAGCAAGATGACTCAGCAGGTAAAGGTCTTGCCACCAGGCTCTAACGCTTGAATTCAATCCTCTGGACGCATATGGTGGAAGGAGAAGACCTATTCTCACATGTCATGTGACCTACACATGTGAGGCATGGGTGTACACACACACACACACACACACATACACACACGATACATTTCTGAAAATGTAATTTAAAAATAGCCTGCCATTTCCAGTCTTGTAAAAAAGTGGAAGAAATGCTCAAATATTGGGGAAATCTTTCTTAACTCCTACAGGGAAAGAAGATGAAATAGTAACAGAATAACAACCAGAAAGGCTTAGAAATATTTTACTATACTCATCTCTTCACTTATTGACAAGTTAAATGCTGATTTTATGTTACTTGTAATGAAATTATGTAATTTACATTATACAATTAAGCAGTATATTTTGTTTTGTGGTCCAAAGTACAGCAAGCAGCCTTGTCTTTTTCCAATGCATTTGAAAATTTGACTGTTGGACATATAATTTGTCTTTTAAATCTTTAATGAATAAGCATTGCTTTAAGCTGGGTATGGTGGCCCATGCCTTTAATCCTGGCACTTAGGAGGCAGAGGCAGGCAGATCTCTATGAGTTCAAAGCCAGCTTGGTCTACAGAGCAAGTTCCAGGATAGCCAGGGCTGCACAGAGAAATCCTATCTCGAAAACAAAACCAAAAGCAAAAAGAAAACCAATAAACATTGCTTTAAATGAAACAGCAAATGAAGAGGGAGTCAGGCTAAGATGACATTTGCTTATAGATCATATTCTTATCTCTTTCCCAGAATTTTCGAGAAATGATTCCTGCCTTTGGGATCTTCAGACTGCTTGTCATCATCCTGATAAGTAAGTGACCTTGGTGAACACTTTACTCCCTCAGTCTCTTCCTCCTCAGCCTTCTGAGGGGCTCCTCGGGGTCCCCCACCCCACCATGAAGGATGGCTGATAGTCTAGTGTTGGGGAGAACTGTCCGCTGGTAGAGGTGCCTCTGTGGATGCACCAGGACTCCAGATGTGTGCTGTGCCTCTCTCCATAGCTTCACTTATGTGTTCTGCTCTGGATTCTCATTTTCATTCAGAGGAGGGCATATGATTTTTGTCTGCAAAGGAAAAGCTTAAAAACTACTGAGATAGCTGGACAGTGGTGGCATATGCCTTTAATCTCAGCACTCGGGAGGCAGAGGCAGGCAGATACCTGATCTCTGTGAGTTCGAGGCCAGCCTGGTCTACAAGAGCTAGTTCCAGGACAGGCTTCAAAGCTACAGAGAAACCCTGTCTCAAAAATAAAAAAACCCCAAAAAACCCCCACAAACAAACAAAAACAAAAAATCTACTGAGATAGTCTAACTTCTTCCTAAATTTCTAAATTTTCAATTTGGGTAGGTTCGGGTAGGTAGAGCAGGATGGCCTTGAACTTGAGAACTTGAGAAGTAGCTGAGGACAACCTTGAGCTCATTCTCCTGCTCCTACCTCCTGAGCACTAAGATTGTAGACCTGTGTTGTCTTACCTGGCTTTATACAGTGCCAGCGATCCAACCCCGGGTTTTCTGCAAGGTATAAACATTCTACCAAGTGAGCTATAGTTGCGTTCCATGTCTTGGATCCTTTGTGCAGAAAATGCCATTACCTTCACGTGGGTTGCTAAGGCAGTCCTCTACCTGGTCTCTCTGCTCCTGTTGTTGCATTCTATTTCCCATCTAACAGCCAGAATGAGTCTTTCCTGGTCCCACAAGGCAAGCAAACCAAAAATCTCATCAGACTCCTGTCACCCGTACTCAGACCCTCAAAGCCTTCCTGTCACGGAGATGTCAGTCGTATGTCAAAGTCCCTGTCTCAAAGTCCCCGAGCATCTTTCCCCAGCTCCTCGCCTGATCCCGACACCTACCTCTTCATTCTTAATTCAAGTCCAGAACCACCTGGAAATCTCTCTGTAACACGGGAGGCTGACCCTCGCCTTTAATTTCTCACTCACCTGTCTAGGGTGAGCCAGAGAATTTCATTTTTAGTAATTGTGCCAAGTAATTTAGTTCTTGGTGCCAAGAGTCATGGCTCCTGCCCAGAATCCCAGCCCTGTGGAGGTCAAGGCAGGAGGATTCCTGTAAGTTTGGGCCCACTTGGGCTAGACAGTAAACTCAAGACTATCCTGGGATATATAGTGAAACCGTATCTTGAGCAAAATAAAGCAGAAGTTCCCAGATGATTCTGTTCTTGGTGATTTAGGGGTCGTTTCTGCCTCAGGAAATCCAAGCTTGTTCTTCACTTGGTCTGAAAGGTTCTTGCTTTACACAGTAACATGGCTTGTCCCAGCCAGGGAAGGATTCCTGGAGAGCTTCCCCAATCCTCCTAGTAAACCATGACAGCCTGGCCGATGAAATGTCTGGCTCAGTCAGTGGGTCAACATGCCTGCCACCAAGTCTGACATCCTGAGTTCAATTCCCAGGAGCCACGTAGTGGAGGCAGGGAACAACTGACTTCTGCGAGATGTCCTCTGCCTCCACACAAGCACTGTGGTACACGGGCACACACCAGTGCACACACCCACACTCGCACACTAAATTAATTAAAAATAATATTTTAAAGGACAGCCTATTCCTGACACCCCTAATTCTCCTTCCTCTGTATTTTCTCTGTCATACTCAGTATAACATAGCACACTGTTGTCTTTTGTTTGTTTGCTTGGTTTTTGTTGTTGTTGTTGTTGTTTTTTTTTTTTGGTTTTTCGAGACAGGGTTTTTCTGTGGTTTTGGAGCCTGTCCTGGAACTAGCTCTTGTAGACCAGGCTGGTCTTGAACTCACAGAGATCCGCCTGCCTCTGCCTCCTGAGTGCTGGGATTAAAGGAGTACGCCACCACCGCCCGGCTGCTTGATTGGTTTTCGAAATAGGCTCTCCCTCTGTAGCCTTGGCTGGCCTGGAACTTGGTATGTAGAGGAGGCTAGCCTCGAACTAACAGAAATTTGCCTGCTTCTGCCTACCAAGTACTGGGACTATAGGCATCAACCAACGTACCTGGCAATGCACACCCCCCCTCCCCATAGGTCAGGGCTCTTTGCTCTATGTCTACCGTGAGACTAGTGCTGTCAGCTGGAACATAACCAACAACTACTTCTTTGATTAATAAATCCATAACTGGGTTACTGATAATGTCCACTTCATCACTTCATTGGGTTGTTATGAGAATTAATGAATTGCTGGAGGGAGAGCTCTAAGAATAGCAGCTGGCCCAGCAGCAGAGTCAAACAAGACAGGGCTTAGGGGAACAAAACTCTGCCCAGTGTGGAGAGCCAAGGCTTCATCGGGTGTCTTCTCTTCTAGTTGCGCTGGATATGGGATTTGCTCTTTACAGAAGGTTCTTTGTCCCTGCAAATGGGTCTCCGGTGAGTTTACTTCCTTTCTTCATGCTTGATGCATGTGTGTGCGCATGCACATGTACACGTACGTTCATGTTGTGTATGTGGAGGTCAGAGGACAACTTTCAGAATTGGTTCTTGCCTTCCATCCCGTCTCTGCCTCCAATTACACTATAGGAATATAGGAGTGCTGTATCCAGCTAGCTTCCTTCCTTCCTTCCTTCCTTCCTTCCTTCCTTCCTTCCTTCCTCTTTCTTCTTTCGTTCATTTCTTCCTTCCTGCCTTTCTTTCTCTTTTTCTTTTCTCCCTTCCCTCCTCCTTCCTTCCTTCCTTCCTTCCTTCCTCTCTTCCTCTCTTCCTCTCTTTCTTCTTGTGTGTGTGTGTGTGCGCGCACACATGCACAAATGTGTGTTTATTTTGTTTTGTTTTGTTTTAGAGACAAAGAGTTTCTTTATATAGGCCTGACCATCCTGCAACTCGATCTATAGACCAGGTTGTCCTGGAGATCTGTCTGCCTCTGCTTCCTGAATGCTGGGACTAAAGGCGTGCACCACCATTGCCCTCTCAGCTTTTTTTTTTCTTGAGACAGGGTTTCTCTGTAGCTTTGGAGCCTGTCCTGGAACTAGCTCTTGTAGACCAGGCTGGCCTCGAACGCACAGATATCTGCCTGCCTCTGCCTCCCATGTGCTGGGATTAAAGGCATGCACCACCACTGCCTGGCTCTTCTTCTTCTTCTTCTTCTTCTTCTTCTTCTTCTTCTTCTTCTTCTTCTTTCAATATTCACTGCTATATCCAGCTTTCCCCATGGGTTCTAGGACTCCTAGGACTCAAATTTAGGTCATCAGGCTTTTGAGGCAAGAACTTTTTTACCTGCTGAGACATCTTACCAGGCTCAATTTCTTTCTTTTGCTTTTGTTTTTCAAAGAAAACCTTATTTTCCCATCAAAAAGTCATCATGTAATCTCAGCCCTCAGGAGATTGAGGCAGGATCTGTTGATCTGGTGTTCAAGGCCATTTTCAGCTACATAGCAAGTTCAGGGCAGCCTGGGCTAACAGCAACAAAATAAAACAAAGAAACACAAAAAAGCATTATCAAATGAGGCTACAATTTCAATTTAAAGCAATCAAATATTCATTTGGAAGTTAAAAAAAATTCCTAAGGTAGACCTGAGGAGATGCCTCAATGGATAAAGAGCTTGATGTGCCTGTGGGAGGACACTCACATAGATGCCGAATAAGTCCTTGTGGCAGCCTGTATTCCCAGCCCTTGGTAAGTGGGAACTGGGATCCCAGGGCAAGCGGCCTAGCTAGACTACTGGAGTCATTGAGCTCAGGGCTCAAGTAAGAGATCTTACCTCCACGGGCATGGTAGTGCACACCTTTTAATAAAGCATTGGGAGGCAGAGGCAGGAGGATCTTTGTGAGTTCAAGGCCTGGTCTATATAGTGAGTTCCAGGACTAAATTATAAAGTGGATGGATGGAGAGTTGATTGAGGAGGCCAGCTTGCATATGTATGTACACCCATAGATATGTAAACACATATGCACATGTAAATACATCTCAAAAACACATATATGCAAAACCAAAACAGAGTGGGTGAAAATGACATGTTTTGTTAGGGTTGGTGCCACACACCTTTATTCCTAACACTCAGGAGACTGAGGCAGGAGAATTTCTTTGAGTTCCACTTCTACCAGGATTATATACCAAGACCTTGCCTCAGAGTAAAAGAAAGAGAAAGGAAAGGAAGGAAAAGGGAAGAAAGAATGGGGTTGACGAGCTGGAGAGCTGGCAAGTTGGAGAGTTGGTGAGCTGGTCAGCTGGTCAGCTGGCCCAGGGTGTACTGAGCTTCCTACGCAAGCCTGACAGCCTCTGTTCAGCCCCTGAAAACCGTGGAAGGAGAGACTTGACCTCACAAACGTCCACTGTCCTGCACGTGTGCTCTGTGGTGTGTACCCCATCATAAATACAATACACAATAATGATAGTAAGTTACAGAAACAAAAAAGAAAAAGACTTTTTTTTTTTTTTGAGACAGGGTTTCTTTTTGTAACCCTGGTTGTCCTGGAACTCACTTTGAGACAAGGCTGGCCTTGAACACACAGAGATCAACCTGCCTCTGTCTCCCAAGTGCAGGGATTAAAGGCATGTGCCACCACCACCCAGCTTTTTGTGCTTCGCAGCATCACCTTGTCTCGGAGGAACAAAGGGTTTTGTGTATCCTTTGTCTTAGCCCAGAGATCTAAATACGATATTTGCACTGACTAGAAGATCCACAGCTGAAATATGGAATAGCGTTTCCCCCCACCCATTTCTCTTTCCCCTTTCTCCAAGGTGTCCTTTGCTGCGCACATCGCGGGCGGATTTGCTGGGATGTCCATAGGTTACACCGTGTTCAGCTGCTTTGACAAGACACTGCTCAAAGACCCCAGGTTCTGGGTGGCAATTGCTGCCTATGTCATGTGTCTCTTATTTGCTGTGTTTTTTAATGTCTTCCTGTCCCCAGCGAACTGACTCACCTCTAATATAAGTTTATTAAAAGTGCCACATGGTGGGGAAATGGAAAACGTGAAGAAACTCAGACATCCCAGCATAAAGAAGATGGGACAGCACCCGATTCATCACCTCTGAGGGGAGCTTCCAATAGGAAAGAGAGAAAGCTAGGAACCAAAGACTGAGTCTTTCATGCATAGAGTATGCATGTATTATCCTATGACGGAGACTTATATCTTGTTTGATAGACTCCACGAGAACTGTGTTATCCTGAGAATAAACCCTTTTCATATCTATGTTGGACTCTTGGTTCTTGTGGCTCTGAGGCAGAGCCTCCTGTATCCCAGGATGGCCAAGATCTGGTTAAATCCAAGGAGAAGAACCTAGAACTCTGGTCTCTGCTTCCATTATTGCAGCTGGGATTTCAGGTTGTGTGCTCTCACCCCAGGGCCTCCAACCTTAGAGCTGGCACTCCACCTACACCCACTAAGCCACACCCCCATGCCAGACTCTTTTTCTAATGAATCCCTGTTTTTTTTGTTTTGTTTTTGTTATTTTGTATGTAATAAATTACATTATGCAATCTATTTCTGGGAGTATTTAACATCCCTTTCTGTTTAACATATCCTTTAGCATTTGATTTGATTTTTCTATAAATGCCTGCCATGTAGAATTGTGTGTTATACCTGCAATATGCTTTATATTATAATAAGCAAAAAGCTGTTTCATTTACGTAGAGAAATAAGCTGGAGAATTGCCTGTCTTTATTTGTACATGTTTATTCATGTTGGCCATAGCTTCTAGCAAATGTATGATTACCAAATCAGCATTTTCTGAACTCAAAGCAGTTGCCCATGGAAAACCTGAATAGGTATCAATGGTGTGGTGTGCATATTTTAGTTCTCCAAATTCAACAGAATAGAATATATTCATATACCAGATTTTGTAGACAGAAGTTTCTGTATTGCCTGGTCCCGTAGCCATTTTGTCCCTAAGAAACACACAGAGACTTATATTATATAAACTGTTTGGCCTATTAGCTCAGGCTTTTTATTAGTTTTTTTTTTATTTTCCAGACAGGGTTTCTCTGTAGCTTTGGAGCATGTCCTGGAACTAGTTCTTGTAGACCAAGCTAGCCTCAAACTCACAGAGGTCCACCTGCCTCTGCCTCCCAAGTGCTAGGATTAAAGGTGTGTGCCACCACCACGTGGCTATTAACTAGCTCTTACAACTTAAATTAACCCATAATTTTTTTTAACCTGTGTTTAGCCACGTGACTTGGGATCTTTTCTCAGTACAGCATTTTCATTTATCTCACTTCCTCTGCATCTGGATGATGACTGCAGACTGAGCCTTTTCTCTTCCCAGAATTCTCCTAGTCTGGTCACCCCACCTATACTTCCTGCCTGGCTACTAGCCATCAGCATTTTATTAACCCAATATGAGTGACAAATCTTTACAGGGTACAAGAGCATTATACTGCACAGAAGTTCCTCTTTTTTTTCTTTTTAAAACAAGAACTCTAAAATCTTTGTTTAGCTTTTTTCCCCTGACCATTATCAATAACAATTTGTAAACAACACTCTAAACAAAGACAAACATCTGTAATCCATTTTTGGGGAATGTAGGCATAGTTTTCCAGGCTACTTCTTGCTTATTGGGGATGCCAATAATATTATGAGGACCTAAAGAAAATTTAGGGTTATGATCAAGTACTGAATGGAGTATTCTTTGAGGCTGGATCATCTCAGCCAGCAGTCTTGAGGCTGTTCTGGATGCAGAACTCAGAAGAAACTGCAACAGAGGTGCTCTGAAATGTTGGATCATCTGGGCCATCTGTTCTCACTGAAGATTTTTCAGGGGGTCTTCTTTGATCAGACCTTATTTTTAACCCAGAATGAATCCACAATCTCTCATTTCCTGTGGAAACAAAATCAAAACCTCTTCTCCAAAGTAACATCTTTTGACTTAAATTTCAAAGTCAAGGCACTTTCAAAATATATATGTTGGTTTAAAATATCTTTTAGCTGCTGTTGCTCCTTCCTCAGCAGTCAAACAATTCAAAGACAACACAATAATACACATTATCTAGATTTTCTGTGGGCCCACTTAAGAGTTCTAACTCAAAAGCAGTACCTTGCCCTGCGCTCAACCACTCTATCTTTTCATCAAATACCCAATGAATTGGAAACATGTCCACCCGACCCTCCGGGGGGTCTGCTCTCAATGGAGACCCTCACCCATGCAGCTTTTCACAGACCTCTGTCTCCAAGCTTGCTTGCTTTATTGGACCCTGACTCAATAAGGAATACCTCTTTCTCCTCTTCCCGACAACTGGCAGGACTTCCAGCATGCTTGCCCTGTTTCTTCCAAAGCTGCAATAAAGTGGTCCTCAGGCTTCCTTCTGAGTTCATTTAGAACATTACTTATGAATGAGACCCGTAAAGAACCAGTAACTCTTTCCTGAGAGCATAGTAATATATTCAAATACCTAATTTTAAGTCATTGTTTAAACAAAATGTAGGATCTGGCATGGTGGCATATGCCTTTAATCCCAGCACCTCAGAGGCAGAGGCAGGAGGATCTTGGTGAGTTTGAGGTGAGCCAGGTCTACATAGTGGGTTCTAGGCTAGGCAGAGCTACATAATGAGATCGTGTCTCAAAAAAAACCCCACCAAAACCAAAAAAATTAAATGAACAAATGTATTATCAGTTATCAAATAGCTAAATAGCAGGATTATCTCATTTCAGTGATGATAAAATGTCATTGTACAAAGGCCCAGAATTTATGTAAAAGTATTTTTACATAGAATAATCTTAAACTTATTTTTTGAAATTTACATTTTAAGTTTCCTATCAAAAAGCAGTTTGGAGATTTCTGAGTACTTAATAAAAGCACATTTTAAACTATTTAATCATCTGTTAGGCTATAAGTTATCTTTCTCGGACACCCTGTAAGGTTTTTTTCAGCCTCAGCATGGACCGTGAACTGTGCCAGAAACACAGGTGAGCATGTCTGTGTCTTTCCACAAGGGCGGGATTCACTGAACAGCAAATAAAGTCACAAGGTTTAGCAGCTTTCTTTAAATATTTTTTCATTAAAAATTTTAAAGTTATGGGTATATGCGCATGTTGTTGTCTATGTGGGAAATCAGTGCGTGTTGAGTATGGGTACCCATAGAGGCCAGTGGTGTCAAATCCGCTGGAGCTGGAGTATAGGCACTTGTGAGCCACCTGACGTGGGTAATGGGAGCTGAACTCAGGTCCTCTGCAAGAACAGTACGCTCTTAACCATCTCTCCAGCTCTAGTTGAGCCGTTTCTGTCATACTCTGTCTGCCTTAGTAGCCTGGGCAAGGTGAATGACTGTTCTTTATTCTAATCTTAATTACTAGTGATAACTCTCATATCACACCACCCAAGGTACAAAGCAGCTATGCCTATATACATTTTTATAGATTACAGAATGAGTTGTAGCAGTTCAAGAGGTTTCAGATGTGGGCTGAGGGAGAGTCCGTATTGATAATGTACCAGACTAGTTCTGGGAGGGCCTTGCTGCTGGTACTGCTGACTTCAGCTGCGAGGTGGAAGCAGGAAACTGGAAACAGCTGCTCAGGTAGAGCTGGGTGAATGGGTAGAGGCAGGTGAGCAGGGGACAAAGCCAAGCTGAAACTCAGGAGACACTCGGGGGATAATCAGGAGTCCTTAGTCCTTGAAGCACACGCTGGGCATCAGATGACAGACTGAGGTGGGATCGTACCATGCTAGTGGTAGTGTTAGGAGTCCATCAGCGTACAGAGATCAGGCGAGGGAGTACACCCTTCCCTTAGTTTGAAGGCTCTAATAAGCTCTTGGGTATAGGAAGAGCCCCCGCAGATTTTTGCAACTGGTTGACTCTGGAGTGTTTATACCTAGTTTTCTTTGATCTGCCTTTTGTGGTTGCTGTCCTGTTTTCGGTACCTTCTGTCTGGAGTCTTTTCTCAGAGTTTCATTCCTAGGGGTTCAAAATCTATGCAAACTTGGTTTGGCACACTGGAGGTATTTATAATTGGCATTGTCCCTTTGAGAGATTCAGGTATAATGTTTTGGTGTGGGTGAAAAGGGCCAAGAAAACAAAAATAAACAAACAAACAAAAAAACCAATCCTGCCCTTGACTAGACCCAAAACCTGGCCCAAGGAAAAAAAATACCCTGACCCTGACTTGACCTCAGGACCCAGGGCTTGAAATCCCACCAATCCCTGAGGTCCCTGAGCACAAAATCCCACCAATCCCTGGGTTTAAACCCAGAATCAGACCACGAAAATCTACCAATCTCAAACCAGCCCCTCACCCCCAAGAAACCCTAGATAAGCTCTGTACCCTATGCAGTTTGCTGCTGTTTCTCACCCTAGAGGCAGCCACCCTCCTGGATTCTTCCTCCCCAGTAAATTTCTTGAGTGAGGTTTGTTATGCAGTGTCAAACTTTTACCAGAGGGAGTCCAGCTCTAACAACTTTTACTGGGGAAGCCTTCCCCTAGCGAAGCCAGGCTGTTCCACTCCTGGGGACTTATGCTAGACCTGAGCAGAGCTGCAACAATTTAGATGGGGAAACCCTTCCCTGCCCCTCGCACTGGGGAAACCTTTCCCTGGAGGCAGAGCTGTAAGCTGCCGTCCTTACAGTGACTTTGCCGTATTCTTTAGCTCCTGACTGCCAGGATACTTTTCCATCCAAGCTGCAATGTTTACACATGTGCCCGTACAGATTCAATTCTCCCTCACAGATTCACAGCGTTACTCCTTTCCTAGTCCCAGGAGTAAGTCTATGCGGGATGGGTGGTGGATTTGCGGTTTCCACCCATCTCTTGTCACAACCACAAAAAAAGCTGCTTGTAAAGGTATGTCTTCTAGGGCAAAACACAACCAGAAGGAGAAAAGAAATGCTGAACTATAAAATGCGGAGTAACGTAAGAGGAGAGCACAGCCTGACCCCAACACTTCATTTTCAGACTTAACAATTCAAAGTGTCAGATGCAATTCCCCCGAGGAAGCAAGCTCAAAATTAGCACATCAGCTAGTTAGCCTTTAGAGAAAGTGCCCAAGGGAAAGCCACTAAAATCAGTCTTTTTTAAAAAAAAAAAAAAAAAAAAGTTTCAAATTTGCTAAGTTCTTGCATCTTTGATAACCTCTCTTTTAAAGGAAGAGAGAAAAAATAAAGACAATAACTCCAAGAATTAATATAACCTGCAAAATGTCTCCAAAAGGTGCGCATGTATGTGTGTGTACACACCTGTAAACACGCACATTTTGTAAAGGTGTGCCAAGAATTTTTTTAAAAAAAGAAATGTAAAAACAAAGTGGCTTGGCATTTGTGACTTAATTTTAGGAATGCCAGCCCTAGACTCATTGCCCCAAGCTGCTTTAGACGTCATTGTAATAACCATAAGAAAGACTTCATGTATTTTATGGTCCTGTCACTCACACCAGTGACTCCCTTGATACTTGTCTCCCTGTCTCAAATGGTTCTACAGAGCTGTACTGGCTCAGTATAACCCAAGAAGCCTTCCCTGTCGTAGGCCAGATACCCACCATAGAAATGGCATAATAATTAAAAAAAAATAGCCCTACAAAACTGAAACAGCTTAGAAAAACCTGGAAAGATAAAACCAGCCACCAAAAAGAGTCAACAAAAAATGGTTCCGAAGGAACCCAAAGTACTGAAAAGACCCCCAAAGGAAATGGAAGGCAACATGTTAGGTACAGTGATTGGGGAAGAAACAGTTTGGACCAAACATTCTAAAGAGTTCCAAACAAATTCTATAAGCTCCTTGGTTTCACCAAAGAGGCAAAAATCTGGATGCTGGCTGAAGCGGAAACCTAAGAAAAATCCTTCCCATGTGGAGTCATCTTGCTCTGAACAGCTGCCACTCAAAGTGCTCTGGCTGGGTGATCAAAACAGTTACCTGGATTATTAAGGACAAAAGCTACGTACTGACATCTCTAACTAGCTAGGCCTGATCACTCATCTCCAATTTCCCAGAGAACTCTGCCCCTTGTCTCTGGCCTTCTGCCTGTCACACACATTTCAGCTA